CCGTGGACTTCTGTTGGTGGAGTTCCAACAGAATTGCCATTCTGATCTCAATTCCAACCGTACGTTTTCAGCATTCCAATGAAAAGAACAAAACGCAGACTGACGATGAGGTTGCATCACTGGCGATCAGATCAAGTCCATTGTAGAAGGACGCAAGCAAAAATTCTCTGGCATTGCACACAGAAAGAAGAATAAACACATGGAAATCACATATCCAACAGTTACTAAATCACTAATTGAAGAGTTGTTAACAGTGCAGTCCTATGATGAAGAAATATGGTGTCCACTTCCAACCCATTTTTCTCATCTTCTTTCTCTTTACTCTGAGTAGCAAGCTTCAGGATGTTTTAATTCATGAATGAATTAATATCTTAGAGATAAAAGTTTTAAAAGATTCACAAAGCATAAGCCAAAACCTCAAAAAGTGGTTGTGCTTTCACCTTTAGTTTAGAAAGACAAAGGGTGAAGTCCAACATGGAAACAAGAAAAAACACACTTTCCTTGCAGCCAGAACTCCAGGGCAGTGGTTAAGACAACTTTTGGATATGTGCACCCCTTAGCAGCCTACTTTGGGTTGCAGTCCCTCCTCCAGCCTCCTGCTAACCCACACCCTGGGAGGTAACAAGTAATGGCGCAAGGACTGACAAATTCCTGACACCGTGTAGGAAGCCTGGATTGAGCACAGGCTCCTTACTTTGACCTGGCACAGGTTGGACCATTGCAGACATTTAGGAAGTGAACTGGCAACTTCAAGATTTCTACATCTCTTCCCCGTCTCTTTCTGATAAATACAAATAAATAACGTTTAAAAAAAAAGCCTCCAGTTTTCTATCTAGTATTCAGTATTGATTTCAAACCAGTTTACCACCCTAATTTTGCCTTTCAGTTACAATTAGCCTAAAAAATCATTTGGGGAGTATGAGTAAGATAATTTCTTGCTTGCTTTTATGTAACCCTCCAAATGGGTTATTTTTAATCTTCTTTGAGCTCATCTCCTTGACCCATAACATGAACAGTTATTCCTATTATTGTCACTTCTTTCCACGAGCTTTTTCTTTTAATAAGTCATTGGTGACACTGATAATTCTGGAATCCTAAAATATCGTCTGATAAATGAAACTGCAAACAGAAAATGAGGTCACAGAAGGAATCACCACTCCCTTGCCTGCTTCCTCTTAGGAACTAAAAAACTTAACAATCAGGAAAGGAGGGTTCTGTTTCATTTCCTGTGGGACATGAGTTGTAAGCTTGGGCATGAGGAAGATGCTTCCTGCATTCTTCCCTACCCACTTTAATCCAAACTTATCTTTGAGTTCCATGTTCCCACAAATATTTTAAAACCCCTCATATTAATAAGTAATCATATAAAGCAATTCACAATTTGAAAAGGGGCCAAGACTCAATGAATAGAGAATTATTTCTGGATGCTGTATCCCAAGTAGAGGTCATCTAAAACATGAGACATCTATTTTACATTATAAAATCACTTAAAAATTGGTTTAACTGCACTATTTGTGAACTTCAGGGAGGCCAGCTTTGAATTTGGTGCATTTATTGCTCCCTGGCTACCAAAAGCCACTTCCTGAGATTGGTACTTCCATCAGTCTTCATTATTCAGTAAGTTCTCCTACAATGCAGCCTACCAGTTAAAAACACAACATGGAGAGACAGTGGAACAGATTTAATATGTTTCCTATTCACAGCCACCTTTTAAGCTCATGTTGCTCCTAAGCCTGGTCTGAAACTTTCTTACTTTTGAAGTCCAAGGAGCACAGATTCATAATGAAGCCAAGCTTAGCTGTGCTTCACACTAGCCCTAATTCTAAGATATATGTTGTTGATTAAAAGAAGTCGTAACTTTAAATTATTAGTCCCCAATTTAGTTGGAGTCCAGAATACCAGAAATATTGTGATAATGCTAAAGGAAAAATATTATGAAGCACACTTTGCAGAACACTGTCCTTATCTAACTTTGTTTTCCTTTTTAAAGAGGTACCAAACCCACAGGAACAGAATCAAATGGGTTTTGTATAGTCTTGGCTTCTTCCTAGAGCCCAATTATTTGTTCTCAGAAACTCAAACCACTTCACTATACCCTAGCAGACCAGAAAGTTTGCAGGTAGAGCTGAGCCAAAGAGTTTGGTTTGGTTCTAGAAGCCAAAACATGAGTCAACCCATTTGAGCTGACTAGACACTTAAAAAGAAAATACTCAACGTGTGTGTGTGTGTGTGTGTGTGTGTCTGTGTGTGTGTGTGTGCGCGCGCGAGCACACCCGCATGGTGTTTGTGAATATTATTACTGGGGCTGATGAAGGGAGTGACAATATTGTTATGGGCTTCTTTTTCTTGGCTCTTTTGGGAGGCAGAGTAGCAGAGTTAGATCATGAATGACTTTAATCTACCCCTGCATTTCATAACAAGCAGGAATAGAAACAGAAATACTCTTTATGACTTCCATGGTTGATTCAACTCTGTAGAGGCTCCCCATCCTTGCTTAAAGCACTTTTTTCTAAATTCAAATACATTTCCAAGTTGTGTGTGATAGTTAAGGTTATTATTCATTTATTCAACAAATGCTTGATCTCTCTGATACTTACATTGAACTGTGCCAGCCACTGCGAAAAATATATTTTTTTTAAAAAAGCCTAACCATAAGAGAGATACAAATGAAAACCACATTGAGATACCACCTAACTCCACTGAGACTGGCCTACATTCAGAACTCAACTAACGACACCTGCTGGCGTAGTTGTGGGGACAAAGGCACCCTCCTTCACTGCTGGTGGGAGTGTGGGCTAGTACAACCACTGTGGAAATCAGTATGGAGAGTACTTGGAAAATTGCAAATAAACCTGCCATATGACCCAGCTATTCTGCTCCTAGGAATATACCCAATAGAAGTGAAATCTACATGTGAGAAGGGGATCTATAATCCTATATTTGCAGCAGCACAATCTACAATAGCAAAGACATGGAAACAATCCAGATTTGCGACCAAGGAAGAGTGGTTAAAGAAACTGTAGTATATCTACTTCATGGAATATTATTCAGCTATTAAGAATGAAATTATTCTATTTACAACCAGGTGGTCCCAACTAGAGACCATTATGTCCAGTGAAATGATTCAAACGCAAAAAGAACAAATACCATATATTCTCTCTTATATAAGGAAATCAACATGGAAAATGTAACTATAGTCCAATCCATACTGCTTTTTGATTGTTTGTTTGCTTTTTTGGCTGTATCCCATGTGTTTTGATGTTTTTTATTTCAGTTTGGTTCATTCCAAATAATCTCTCTTTTCTAGTCAAATTCATCATGGACTCATGAATTATACGATGGCATCATTTTTCCCAAGAGACTCACTCATGTGTTGGTTACTCAGTGGTGCGGTTTTTTTTTTTTTTCATGGTGCTGTAATTTGTTGATATTGTTGTTGTTGTGGCTTTTCTAACTCATACCAGTTGTTGACCTTGTTTCATGGCTTCTCACTTCTGGTAATGTATAGTGATGGAGTACTCGGGTCTATCATATACAGACATGGGGTTATGCATCCCTGCATCCAGACGAAAGAAGGAATCCCAATGAAACTGTTGGACATGTGTAGTCAATGGGATGCTGGACTGTCTGACACTGTCTGTACCAACAATGTTGCGGCATACTTAAATAAGAGACTGATAGAATTATGATTACTTATGAAGGACTACACTATTGTAACAAAATGGGAAAAATTTGACGGCGGGGGGATAGAGTTGAAGGGGGGGGAAATCCCAGCCTACGCAATATTGTACCACACAATTCAAAATCCAAAATAAAAATAATTTAAAAAAATGTTTTAAAAGCCTAACACATAAAACTCTAAATTCCAACTGTAGTGTAAGAAAATATTTGTTAATAATGTTATGTTCCTTTTAAATTTTTGTTTTATTTTTTAAACAAATTGATAGGGATTATACACTACTGTATATAATTTTAATTTTATTTTATTACTTTAATTTTATTGCTTTTAAAATTTATGGGAATGAAGTTGTTAAAACATAATACAACTCTTGAGATTTAGTTGTAGTTGTAGTTAGATATGAAATCAATGCATGACACTCCCTTATTACACTTCCTTAATGCATGAAGGGTTGTATTCTGCATGCACATAAGAACCTGGACTTAGACAAAATAGTGAAGTGGGTGGCCTCCACCTTCACGACTACTCTTTGTTCTGGTAGTTTTTCTGTCTTTTTAAGGTCCATTTCACTCACAACGACCCTAACTGCCAAGGAGCCTCCACCCTGCTCCTTCTATCAACAATATACTATGGACCTTGTAAATTTCCTATCCTTCCAAGCCCAGTTTCTGAAGTGTGCGATTGTCTGAAGCTGGCCATTCACATATGCCAATTTTGCTAAAACTTAATAAATGCTGGTACATTCCCAACAGACAGCATGGTGTGCTGGCCATAAGCACTGTTCCTGGATTCGGTTGGAATACTGTGGAATTCTGGTGCAGATGCTTCCAGGTCTGTGATCTGGAATAGCTCATCTAATTTCTTTCTATCTGTTTCCTTCTGGTTCTATGGGAAAGGGAAGTAGTGGATATTTTAAATAGTCTATGATACCTACTTTCAGTCTCACCATGATTTTATATTCCACTAAGAAAGAAAATTCTCTAAATTAAGCTTGTCAGACATCACTGAGTTTAAAGTATATATCAATTTTTAAAAGTTACAGTGTGGAAAAATTGTACCTTAACAGCAGTTAAATACAATATTACCAATCTCGTAAGTATTACATATTGTAACAATTATTAGACAAGTGATATTAACCAAAAGTCAATGCAGAGTGCTTCACACAATGCCAGGAATAAATTAATCACTCATTAATATTATGAATGTGTTACTCCTCCCCCATAATTGGCTTCTTTTAAACAATAATTCAAACAGTACCTTAACATACAGACACCAGGGAACAGGGAAAGGAGGCTTACAGACAATAGAAAAATTGCCTTACTGTGAGTAGAATGCTGAATGCTTTTATTCAGGTTATACCTCTTCAAAGTTACATGTCAGACTGCTCCAACTAAAAATCCTATTGACAAAAATCTGAAATCAGAACTGCTGTCATATTCAAGACAAATGGTTTCCTATATTAATAAATGGTTCTCATGATTAGTTGTCAAGTTTACAAAACACACACAAATCACTTTCTTGGTATATTATTTTCTTAGACACTTTAAACCAGAAAATTAATCTTACCTTTGATTTTTTTTAACTTTATTTCACTACAATTATTTATTCAGAGACAAGCAACTAAGTATCTTCACACCACTAAAAAGTTATCTTTCAGATGTGTGATTTATAGGTCAAGAGTATTACAGCAAGCCTTTTGAATGACATTAATATCTTATCTAGAAATCTTACCCAGTGATCTTCATGTTAAGTTCAACCCAGAAAATCTGATATTCATAACACAGTTATCCCCATATAATATGCTGGTACAAATTTTAATTTCCTGTATCAGCAAATTATCAGCCTTTAGGTTAGTCTGAAGCTTGGTAACTTGTTTATGCCAGCATTCCTGGTTGTTGTTCTTGTTACGCCTATTCATATTTTGCTTTACTTTTGTAGTGCAAGAATACAGAGTACAGGCTTGGTTTCAGATGTTGAAGTGGAAGTATACATTTGATAACAAGCAGTGTTATTAATATATGGGAGTATGGTGCCAGGTCTAAATTTGACCTTTAATTCTGGAAGGTATTGGCATACAAATGGCAACTGTATATAAGTGAGATTGAGCCAACCTAACAGCAACTCATCTATAAGAAATCCTAGTTTTTGCCTAATCCAATCTATTTCCCAAATTTTTAATTTATATTATTGTACCATTTTTCTCCATAATACAAAGACTTCAAGTCATATATTAAACTAAAAACTGTCATCTCAATTAGCGCTTCACTCTCTTCAAAGAATAACCTCAATCTTAGAGTGATTTCACTTTATCATCCTCATTTTTGCCCCATCACTTTAACCACCGCTATATGACTACAGATTTTTTCTAATCAATAGTCCTGTTTTCAATCATTCCCTCTTTCATTTATGCTCTCTGTATATTATTGTTCTAAAATATTGCTTCACTTAATTTCCCATATCAAAAACTTAGAACAGCTCCATGTACCTACAAGATGAAGTTCACACTTCTTGTCTTGGTCTTAGCTCAGTTTTATGTGAGACTGGAGAAAGGCCAGAACTATGAATAAAAATTGTGTGATCATTTACACACACATACTCATATCAGTAACAGTTGAAGTTGGGAGATAAGAAACATTAGAGGTGGAAGAGCAATAGTATAAGGTGTGAGTTGTAAGGTATGCTTATATTTGGTCAATTCAAAGTAGGAGGCAGACAATAAAGGAGGCAGAGAAGAGAAGAAATTGTAGGGCAAATGAGAAAGCAGAATGTGATGGAATTACAGAAATCAAATGAGAAGAATTTTAGTAATGGTCACAACCAGCAGGATATAATGCTTTAGAGGGACTCTGCAGAATGAGAAAAGGAAAAGGTCATTGCTTTTGATGATTATAAGTTTTTGAAGCCAGTTGAGAATAATTTTCTTAGAAAGGAGCCAAGTTACATGAAAACTATGTAGAGATGGGTAGTAAGGGAAGTGGAAGGAGCAAATGTGAGCAGCAGGCATTTAAGGTCTTCACAAACTTCCTGTAAAATGTGTGCCATGAAAAAATTGCATAGATTGCAAAGTATTTGTTTGCACCAAAGCAAAATCATCTTTTAATTATATTTCTATGACCTTTTTGAAGTAACTCTACTCAACCCCTTGGATAGAAAAGGAGAAGAGAATAGTAGCAAAATACATCCCCAGCCTTGTACTGTTCTCCATGTACTTTCCCCCAGGCAGAATCAATCTCACTTATAGGCAGTTCCCATTTGTATGCCAATACACTAATCTCATATCCTCTTTGAATACTCAGATTACATCTGCCCGAACACTATTCTCTACTTCTTTGGAACTGTCCCTAAAATTTGAAAGGCCTTTTCATACTCAGGCTTACTACATTTCCTCAATCATTGGTTCAGTCCAGTGTACTAGACTCTACACAATATTTTTGGTTATTCATTCATAATTCACATAAATGTTAAGAATCAAATTTAAAGATTTAAATTCCTTTTTAAAGATTACTGATTTACGTATTTATTTGACAGGCAGAGTACTAGAGAGAAAGATCTATATCCTGGTTCATTCCCCAGATGAATTAAAAATCAGGGGTTAAATTAAAAACCAGGAAAACAAAAACTGGAGGGGTGCACCAGGAAAACAAAAACTGAAATCCAGGAACTCCCTATAATCCTCCCACATAACTGAAGGACTCCAAGTATTTATACCATCTTCTTTCTTTCCAGGCACACCAGTAAGAAGTTAGGCTGGACAAATAGCAGCCAAGACTCAAACTACCCTTGTGTTATGAGATGATGGTGTGGCCAACAGAGGCTAATGCTGCTGTTTTCATAAAACTGACCTCATGAAAATTCTAGTTCCTTAGAAAATGGTACATTCAAGTTTAACTGTTATCTGTAATCATTATTAATTCAAAAACAGTTCTAGGGAACTCCAGATTTTTAAAAGTTAACTAGATGGTATTTGTATTCCAAGAAATAGTCTTGCTTCATGTTCTAAGGTACAAACATGAAGAAAGGGGATTTGATATTAATATGTCATGAACACACAATATTTCAAATAGTATCTTATTTTTACAAACAAAAAGGCAAAAATAGTTCAAGTTAAACAAATATCATTAACCACATTCCATTGACTGTGACTCAGATTTCGCGTGAATTAACTCAAATTTCACAGTAATATGAATCCATGCAACAGCAGAAACAATCATGGTGACAGCTTGACATACTACAACTGCCATCACAAATTAAACATGCTCATGATTAGAAGCAGTCAGTTTCATAAAAATACAGGTACTTTGGAGGAGTATTTTATGCCATTTATTACCTGGCACCTTGTCACTTTACTCACTACTCTTTTCTGGCAAGTCAAAATCTCAACTACATAAGAAAGTATATATGCTTTATTAAATTCTCAGACTCTCTGGGTGCTGAGACTGCAAAAGCAACAATTGTTCAACCATCCTGTGAGACTGGGCTTTATAGCAGGTCTCTGTGATTCTCTGGGCCTCAAAGGGTCCTCTAGAGCCTGGGGCTCAGCCTCATTTTCTTCTGCAGAATTTGAGGTCAAATATTCCATTGGATATGCTTGGAAATTAACTGAAGCTCTCTAAATTATTTCAGAATGAATCCTGTTTTGTATCTGCTTCTTTTTCCAAGATATTCTCATTGTTGATTATTGATCTGTAAGTCTTTGAAGACATTATTTTCCCTCTGTGTTGAGTACCACTGCCTGGAAAACTTTGTTCCAAACATAATGGAGCCTTTCAATAAATAGTGATTAAATTCAACTCTTATCCCTGAAATAAATAAAATAAATCATATCCAAGAAGGATAAGTCTAAGCTAGTGGGTTCTCTTTGAAGTAGAAAATTTGTTTCAGAAGTCAAGTAGGTAAAGAGTTATAGTTTTTCTCCTGGGATGACTTTTGAAATGAAAGCTGATCTCAAGGGATATCACTATGACAGATTTTAACTCTGTTGGATTTAATCACCTATGAAAGGTCTTCCCTATTGTGCACATCAGGAGTCTTATAAATTTGATGTAGGCAATTCAATTGCTTTCAAAAGCCAGCTCTCTCTGAAGGAATCAGAAAGAACACTTTCACAATTCCTATAGTAGGAGAAGCTGGCACAGTAAAATCATAGCAATTGGGGTTAGGTAGGTTCCCCTTCCCAAGCAGATTCCCCTGTGTTTTCATTTCTTGGTTTTATTAAAATGAGAGCCAAGTTATGGTTTCATAATTTCCCTCATAACTAACCCTGAAGACGAGTTACTACAGCCCTTAAATTGGAATGACTTCGCAAGCTGCACAGCAAATCTTTGTCCAACATTCAAACCAAACTGCATGCTTGAGGGTTTGGGTTGTTTTGAGTTTTCTAAACTTCAAGCTTAAATTTTCATGAACCTTATTGCACTTCCTGATATTTTCTGGGACAGAAAGTGGAAAAATTGACCTCCTTTGTGCCAGTGTTGGAAGCAGACCTCCAAGTGTCGTGACTAACTGCGTGAAAAGCAGATAGGCTTAGACAGGAATATACTAGATGATCTACTTAAATAGAATATCTGTAGCAAAATCGGAGTGCTACGCTCCTAAAAACCATACTTGTTTAAAAGCCAAAAATTTTAGTTTAGAATTGAATCTTACCTATCATGACAAAAAACAACTAAGTATTAAACAAGTATGACAACATTCTCAATGACAGCTTGGAAAAGAAATGAAGAGAGGGATAAGATTTAAGTTTTTGAACTTGGGGTGATTCATTGAATTCTACGGATCTTTGGTACCAAAGTAGAACTAACAACATGAGGAGAAGAGGGTGTGTATGAAGTAGAAGTGGGGAAAAATAAGACTTTGCATTGACTTGTAATGAAGAAGACACTGTGCAAGGTATGGATGGAGTGATACAAAATGCAAACCACCATGGAAAATAGAACAGAAAGAGACACAGTCAAAAGCCAATGAGTGACAAAAGAAGCCAAAACCTATAAAACAAGATTGATTGCTGAGGCCTACAATGTCATGGTTCACATGAATAGCAGAATGTTGGAATTCTGACTGCAGCTGAAGGAGTATATTACTGTAATAAAATGGAGGGAAATGATATGTGTGTATGTGGCAGGGGAGAAAGAGCAAAGAAAAGGAAGGGAAAGGGAGGAATCCCCATACCTTAAAAACTGTAAAATGGAAAGTAATAATAACAACAAAAATGTATTTTTAAAAAAGACATAAGGGAAGACTTCCCTAGAGCCTCTGATCTGTCCATCCTTAAATCCATCCATTGATTTGGAACTTAAAGTTTCTGGAACTTGAGAAACAAACGGTTATTTCAAGCCACTAGGTTTGTGATCCTTGTTACAGAAGATGTGGAATTTTTTTAATGTTTATTTTTATCCACTTAAAATTTGGAACAACATAGACAGTCCCATTTGATGAATATTCATTCTCCTA